TATAATATAATATAATATAATATAATATAATATAATATAATATAATATAATATAATATAATATAATATAATATAATATAATATAATGTGCAGCAAATAAAAACAAATCAGTTCTTGAAATATGATAATATATCACCTAAGACTGGAGATGGTGAACTGCTTTCAACATGGCTATATGTCGTACATGTCAGTGATGGGTAGACTCAGATGAACGTGCACATTTCTTTTAACATTGCCTTTCATCGGTGGTAATGTCACTACCGTAAAATGAATTTGCATAGATGTACGTTTCTAATAACCCAGGAATTTTTATTTTATATGATGTGTTTTTAACTCCGAACTTGAAAGACGCATCGAAACTTGGGTGAAAAGACATGTAGTTCGAGAGAACGCACATAGTAGCCTGCAATGCGCTAGCCCGTTATTAGCCTCACTGAAAACAGCACCCCAACAATAAGTTCGCTGTCAAGGTTCAAGTTTCTCTCATAACAATAAAGCACCCGCTTATCATAGTGTAATTGAACATCATCAATGTCAAATAGAAACCTCAACATTTCACCTGACACGTTCTTCTGACACGTTCGTCCTGAGTGCGTTATCATCTCAATTTATTTCTAACTGAATAGCACGGTTGATTTATCTATCTTGCATGATGCCGTTATTTACTGATTCTCGGTAATCGGGCACAATAGCGACGGAGAGAAACAACAAATTAAATGCGACGATTCTTAACATCTCTATTGTTTAGCAATTCGTTTAGCCCAAGCGATCTCTGTCTCAAGCGTGGGCGTAAAGTGCGACAGAGTACACGTAGGGCAAAATAATCTAATCCTATTCTTTAAGAGAGTAAAACAAAACAGATTTGTAGAACACTGTTTCTTCTGCCGTGCCTGCAAATCGTTGCATCGTCTTAACCAGTGGTGTGGGCGTTTAGACCTTTGACCCACCACTATCACTCGGGTAAAACAGATGTTTAGGTAGGAAAGCGGACACGTCGACCTGTTTCTTCACCAGAGCGTTGCATGCATTGAATTCGGTGCCAAAGGTATAACTTTGAACAGCTAGCACACCGCAGGGCACATGTGTAAATATGTTTCACAAACTGGTATTGCCATTTCTGGCAATTTCTACTAGCGAATTTGTAGACGGAAGATTGGAGATATTGGAGATCTAGTTCCCAATGCTTTCAAGCACGGTGCATTCATCATTATGTGCGATGTCAACAACACGACGCCCGACACAGCACCCGCGTGTTCGAAAACTGTATCACACGATATTTTTTTTTCTCACAAATGCGATAAATTTTCTTTAATCTAATGTTTTTTTTGTTTATATCGATCTATTTGTATCTATTTTATTACCCAGAATTCAATAGCTCCGAATTCTCAAACTAACATATATTGTTATGTTACATTCGCCAAAAGTTGGACACAAAAGTCAATAATCACTGCATCAGCACAGTAGATGTAATGTTCAAAATTGATGATTCTCATCCTGATATTCTCAGCGCGCGATTCGGACGGATGGACGGTGTTTTATTTTCTCTTGATACCGTTGGCTCTTTTTTGTTTTTAAAAACAACTATGAACACAGGTCTTTATCATCCTAGTCCCTGGATCCTTGTCACGGTGCAAATAATTTCACTTTGACACTCGATGTCAGTTAATATTGGGGCTATTTAAATTGTTTTTTGCTCAATAGAGTCTCGTCGAGGTTTTCTTCATATCAGTCGTATATTCAAGTACCCGCTCACACTGAAACAAACACTGATTGGAAGCCGTAACCGTAACTTTCCGTGAAGGCCAACTGTACTATTTGCATTAGTATTTAAATAGAAGAACAAATATTGAATGGGGTTACGAAGCGTGACAGAAATGTTTGATGGTCGATCATCTCCAACTGCATGCCCAGTGATCAACTCCTAACCGTATATATTGAGAACGCTTCTCGTTCTCTCAATACTCTATTATGCCCGACAGTCACCTGTCAACCGCCCCTAGGTAAATAAAACTCAGGTCTATAATTACGTGTTTAGACACACCTCGCTGCCTATCCAGTACCTTTGACCATGGAGCTAAAAAAAACAGCCAATGTAGCCAGGGAGTAAAAAAATTGTGGAGAAACTAAAAAACTAAACCAAAAAATACATGCAACTTCATATCACACACTCCCGACGAAAAAAAAAACCAACGTATTTCACATTATGAAACCGGGTTTGCTTTTAATTAGAAAATGGGTGTTAGAATTGCATTATTTCGAGGGTAAACACTAACCATCAGAACACCTTCGTGTATATTGGTTTGTTTGCTCCGAGCATAGCCCGACTATATGAAAGAAAGAGCAGCTGTTATACATTTCACCCAAATACGCCTGATACGAACAGTTT